ACTGATGTGGCCACACCCATCGTATCAGAAGTACCCCCTGGTTTACACACACCCCTGGTTGTGAATCACTGCTTACTGTTTAAGAGGATTTTTGTAAGGCTTTCAGGGAACTGTAGGAAGTCACTACTTAGTAGAAATAGCCAGTTTTGGGGAAAGTGAGATGACACAAAAGTGAAACTTTTAATCCCAAAATAACTGCTGCAATGCATGGTTCATGACAAATTTACGTAGTTGTAAGAGTATCTTTTGGTGACAAGGCTTAATATCAGCTGATAAAATCTGGCAACTTCCCTCGGGACTCAGGTTCATTGTGTGAAAATTTGTTCCCTTTTAGTATAAACTAAAATGGGAAGGGTTGAGGTGGTGATGGAGCAGTGGATAAGACACATACCTTTGGTGTTGAAGACCAGGGTTCGAATCCCACTGTGACACGTCCACCAATGTGTCCCTGAGCAAGACACTTAAACTGTAGTTGCTCCAGAGGTGTGTGACCTCTGAATTATTATTATTTCAAACTAAATGATCTTTCATATTTTAATAGTAATAATTTGCTTACATGGTGCATATTTACAAAGAAATCACATTTAATTAGCCTATAACCAAACTAAGTTGGGGAACATGGGGTGCTCTGTAGGGGCTCAGAGCTAATTTCTTGTCCCATGGTCGGCCAGCAAGTTAATCCAGCCCTGGTGGGAGAATATTTCATTTAAACAGGTAGATAATAAAAAACAGGTGAACATCATGTAATTTCCAAAAGCAACTCCCCAACACAATAGGGATACAGTTGTCTTCATGAATCCGGATCAAGGTGGATCAAAGTGAATCTCTGCATCAACACAAGGCAGCTGTTCACACCAGTGGTTCAGAGGTGAGGGGGCTGTACATGATCCTCATGTGTTGAGAGTGGCCCGCGTGCCCTCTTCCCCACAGATCTCTTACCTTATAAAAATAACCACAATCCACAGCCGGACCAAAATGCACAAAGAATCCCCGGTCGGCCCCTCAGATCTCCTGAGCAGATGCCTGTGGGTGGTGCGATACTGCCAGGGAGGCTCAGAGCTCATACAGTCAGGCCCTCTCCACATCTGTCCTGAGTTATGGTAGCCACTTTACTCCGTCAAAAACCAGCTGTTTAGAGATTTGCTTTGTTGTTGTGTAGAGCTGGTTTGCTCATGGCTGTGTTACATGGGGAAGAGGTCTAAAAATTAGATTTGAGTAGATTCAGTGCTTCTGTGTGTGTTAGTATGAGACTGAATGCGTTTCAAAAAGCCTGAATAGCAGTGCTTTTTCTCCAAATTTCACTCTTTCAGCTAGTAGCTGACCAGTTGCTTGGATCACATCCTAGAGAAATAAAAGCTTTCCGGAGGAAGAAACTGAGTAGATTAGATAACCAATGTTGGGACATGATGTAGTGACCTCACTCCTTCTCAGAGTGTATTTGAAGTAATCATCTCGTAGCATGCCATGGCTGAATAACACATTTTGTTTTCAACAGAGTTTCGTACTCAGACATTTTGTAACAGACAGACAACAGTGTCACTGAGCAGTAAACAAGGAGCATATGTTCAGAATCACTGCCCAACAATACCCCCAAATGTTGACAATGGTTTCCTGCTGTTGATTCACATTTTCAATTGAGGCGGTGGTGACAGATAGAGGAATGTAACAGAGAATCAGTTTTGTGTTTATGTTACACTGTGGTGCAATTGTTTGGGTTCAGAACAGCTCCTGTGGCTCTGTGAGATAGATTCAGAGGATGCAGTGACCACTGGATACTCTAGCGTTCCTAAAATAATCCTAATTATAGGTCTACAGATGGATTCTGATGGGAAATGGACAATTTTGGTCCACAAGGCCCACAAATGCGCAGTTATTATAACTGAGCCAAGTTTAGCACATTCTTTCTGTATGAAAGAGCATCCAACTTTTGAAATCAGCTAGATAGACCAGAAGCAGCATAAAATCACTTTCTTTGAGAGTGAGCCATCACAATTACATTAAATAAAATCCATGTAGAAATGGTTTCACATCCAGTGCAGCTTCCAAATGACCTGGCAAGTTTTCTTTTTTTGTTGTCAAGAAAGGTCAAAACATCATCAGATATTTGTCAGAAGTTAACTCAAAACAAATACTGAGCCTGTGAGCCGGCTCCTGGATGACCAGTGACCGTAAATTAGACCGATCACAGAAAGGATCACGTTTGCCAGGTGGCACCGTAGCCCCCGTGTTGGTAATCTGTCTGGCCCATGCCAAGCTTTAAAAGGTGGCCACACGTGCTACTTTAGGATTGCTACAATTACAGCCTTCCAAAGCCCATTACCTGCTGGACTATTTAAAGCTACTGTAACAAGCCACTTTCCACAGCCACCTTTGATGTGAGCCTCACCTCAGTAGAGGTAATTTATACAATATAACATATATTTATACAACACTGATTGGACATAATTAAAAGGATGTCTTTTCAGTCCTCTGTTTTCTTTTTCAGTTTTTCTGTAATTTGTGAATTTTAGCAACCTGGAATAACAACGTTCTAATATTCTGTTTTTAAAGAATCCCTCCAGTATTTCTTTAGACTTAATATGTTTAAAGGTTTCCTACCATTGGGTAGGGAAATAAAAAATAGAGAAAATAACATGTAGGCGCTAATAAATTGAATACAGACAAAATCTAAATGAACTCAATATTTTACATAACTTTTTAACAGCTGGCAAATGCTCTCAGTATCATGAACATCCTCGCTATGTCCCTGTTTTCAGACAATAAATCAATTATGTTAATCATTTACCTACTAAAATAGTAGCTCAACATTTTTGGAAATACACTTGCAATGATTTAGATGAGGTGACCACTATCTATTCATTAAATATGAAACTACAGCTAGTGGGTGGTTAGCATACAGTTTATCAAAAAGAATGGAAATGGGGAAGTAGCTAGCCTGCCTCAAAACCTGCTTTCCAGCACCTCTAAAGCTCACTTTTTATCACGTTGTAGCTTGTTTGTTTAATCTATACAAAAAAACGTGTAAAACGACAATTTTTTATCTTCGGACTGAACCAGGTTAACTTTTTCCCCTTTTCCAGTCTTTATGCTAAGCTACAGTACCCGTCTCCTGGCTGTCAGACAGAAGAAAGCAAATAAGTATATTTTCCCAAATTTCAAACTATTCCTTTAAATCTGTCCCAATTACAAAGGAGGTGATATAAAGCAAATACAACAGAGTAAGAGGAGCATGTTCAAGCTTTGAAACAATTAAAATGCAGGTCTCAATCAAGATGTCCCTGCTATTTCAGTTTAGTTTCATGCATACAAAATGTATAAAACATTGTCCAGGATCAGCTACTCTAAATCCAGCTCTTCTGCCCTGTATTTACTGTCACTCTTAAGATTCATGAATTCAAGTTTTCTTCCAGGTTGTTATTGCTCACTGACTAGAGGAGCAGAGCGATATCCACATAAAACCCCCACACCTCCAGAGTCAAGATGTTAGACCAGAGTTCGGGGGAATTGGGGAGTGGCAACTGCGGCAGCCCACATCGGGCAGCGATACTCACCAAGCTCACAAATGTTCAAACTCAAAACCACAACTGGCAAACGGAGCGGTGACATCAGCGTCTCTGCACCACATTTCAGTGTGTTGCACATAAGCTGCATATGCAACGCACAATTGAAAACAGGCACGACTAGATTGCAGCAGAAGTGATGACCTTCAGTGATACTGAGCAGATGCCAGTAAGTCACAGGCCAAATTAAATGATATGCCTTTTTCAAACTACTGTAACACAGCAGTTACAGTATCTCATATCCCATCTCATCCCAATTGTTCTTGTCAGGTTCGTCACTTTTCTCAGTTTCTTAATTCAATTTCAGTTTCTCCTTGCCTTATCATGTCATGCAGTCCAAAGTCATACCCTCTGCTATCCAAATGTTTCATTCTATTGGACAAACTGCGTTCAAGCTCCGACGAGAACTAAAACATCACCTTTTTGTTATTAAGTCATTATGGAGGGTTTTTTCCCATATACTAGTGACCACGGGATATGTAAAGTCAACAAATGGAACAATGGCTAGCTTTACAGGAAAGGAGATAATCATCAAGTAGGTAATTCAAAGTTAAGGTGACTTCATATAAACATGATTATTACTGTTACAGCTAATTGCCAAGGAGACTCATTACTAGCTGTGATCAGGCAACATGAATAGACAAAGATGCCATTACAAATGAATAAGGGGATGAATTTCTATGGTCACCTACTAGGCAGTCCACTGAAATCATTTCCACTGTGGGAATACACAAGCCTGGGCCGACAGAAGCATATCAGCCTGTCTTAGTTTCAGGGGAATTCAGTTATATGCAACATCTGTGTCAATATTATGGAGGTTTTAGGGTCCTCTGTTCTTTTTAAGAGGTGGAAGGGGTGTACAACTTTCAGCTCTGAAGGCCTGGAGCTTAAAGTAGGTTTTGGCAAATCTTACAGGAGAACCAAAACAAAAAGTGGAACAAAGTTTGATCAACTGCTGTAAATAACTTTTTATAGTATGCCTAATGTTATAAAAACACACATAATTATTTGTGATACATGGTTCATTTTCACTTTGATTGTTTAGGGCTGCAGTTAGCAATTATTTTCATGGTCAGTGAATCTACTGATTATTTTTTCAATTAATAGATTAATTTGATCTAAGACACATCAGAAGACAGTGAAAATGCACTGCTTGTGTTTGCTATGTTTCTTGTATCATTTCATCAGTCTCATTAATCCGTTTGTCCCTGTTATTTGTATACCCTTTATTCCCGTGTATCCCCCCCTTCAGCATGTCCTCTTCTTGCCAGGCCATGGTTGTAAATAAGAATTTGAGATATAAGAATTTTAAATAAATGTGAAATAAAAAACACAAGTTGCTAGAGCCCAAGTGGTGTCAACAAATGTTGATTTGTCCAACCAGCAGTCAAACCCCAAAGATATCCAGTTTATTGTGATGTAGGCTATTACAAGGAAAATCAGCACATTGTCACAAACAACCTGGATGTGGGGAGATGATGGTCAGACCTACATTTTTATTAGCAAGTAGCCTGAGTGTGAAGTGACCTTATCACTGAGCAGCATCCAGCTGCCTCCCCGCTGGAGAAGAGGCATGTTTCCTCAGTGCTGTACTGTGGTGTAGGCTAGAGGGGCTGTTCCTTCAGCAGATCCCAGCTCAGTCCGTCCAGAGCAGCGGCGCGGATGAGCGCTGGGGACTAGGCGGAAAGGCAACAACGCATTTTACAGGTAAGAGTGGCCCCGGGTCGAGCGACATACCGCCTTTAATTCGGGCGTGCGTTTATGGGGGGCTGTTTCCTTTTTTCTCTCTTTCAAATTTCGCGACACAGGCGGTCTGCCGAGGAGGCGAGCAGCTGCTGTGAGGAGCAGACAGAGGTGGAGAGTCGCATCTGCTCTGCGTTCAACATTTCCAGCGGTCCCTCAACTTGCAGCCAAGCCAGCTACCTCGGCGCTCTTCTGTCCGGCTGTCACTGCCTCCTCTGCTGGGATTAGAGGATTTAGGACAACACTGTGCCACTTTAAGGACGCGACATTAGAAGGTGAAGGAGCGACAGGATGGCGGTCTTTATTTTTTAACTTGCAGCGTGTGCGGTGGCGATTGCCACTATCTGCGGACGCGCTCCTTCCAGCTGAAGGTTAAAGATTGCTGATGGAGCTAGCCAGGCTAGCGTTAGCCCCGTTGTGTATGTCGTTCTCTGTGATGAGGAATAGAGGCCAAACTAAAACGCAGTTTTATATGTTCTAGCTTACCAGCAGACTTATATCGAGAGAAACACTAATTATGGACTTACTCACTGCGGCCGTGGCTTGTATTCGGTAGGCATTCTGTGTTACTCCAAACAGCTAATACAATTTTAACTTGTAGAATTGCTTTCCCTTACATTTCCACAGCGGTATTATTTCCACATTGTGTTATAATAGGCACTATTAATCAGTTGGAGTTACAAAACAAAGCTATCACTGAAATGCAGCCTGCAGGCATTCATCCATCGAATTTAACCATTTAACCACTTATCTGTGTAAGGTCTTCAGTCTTGTTGAAACAAGTAGCCTATGCATCTCTTGCTCACTGTAAAGAAACACACAGATGTTGGAACAGAATTTGGCTTGGTTTCTCCCTGCGTCTTAGTGCGGGACGCATCGGGGCTAGGCTAGTAAGCTACGGCAGCAACCTGCAACGGGAACCAGCGGAGCTCCCGTCATGCCAAGCCTGTCAATCATTTCATAACGACATGATGACAACACTCGGGTCCTTTAATGTAGCTCTCGGTTCTGGTCGGATGCTTAGGACGACCAAATGGCGATGGAAATGAGCTGAAAATAGCCTTAGCAAATGGCATGCCAAGTTTAGGTAGCTTTGATGTTGGAATGTTGTCACTTTGTCACACCTGCTGTTTGCATGAAGATGCCGCCTCCCTCCCCGCAGCCTCCTGCACGCACTATAAGCTTGCATGACTATACTGCCAGCTATCCTGCCGTCAGTTTCCTGAAACTGTTAAATAATGACATGTGCTTCAGATTTTCCTTTTAATATTGACCGGGAAAGTTAAAAGGTTTTCCCAGCCTACAAGATCAGATGGATGAAACACTCGTCTATGCTCTGATCTTTAATCACACCTCAAGCTATGTCACAGTGTTTGCAGTTGCTTAATGCCTTTAATTTTAGAAGGTAATAAATTGTGACTGTCACGTAGGGACCTCTAGAGGCCAGGAGCCAAGATTTCACCTGATCACTTAGTTATTGGAGTGTTGCTGCAGTGAACAAATGGAGCACCATCTTCCCATTTTATCTCACCAGATTTGATTAACTCACTCATATTTGGGCCGGCCTGTCATGGCCTCAGGTCTGATTATTTTAGGTAGTGTTATTTATGGATGTACTATTAACATTGCCCAGAAAAGATCTGTTCCCTCTTGCCAATATATTTCATAGCTCAGTGAGCTTACATCAAAAGCTGTTAGCAAAGTTCATTAAGTAGCATTTTTTAGACAGTGTGCAGGATGTATAGATAACAGCAGCTGATTGGTAAAAAAAAAAGGCTAACTAATGGAAAACATAGTCCAGACTAAGATAATGTGCATTTTCACAGGAAAGGGTAAAAAAAATAAGTGTGCGTGGGCGCATATGTGTTATGTAGTAGGTCTTTCACACATCCTTGAGACCGGGATGGTGTGTGAACACAAGGCCCTGCTAAATGCCCTGAGAGGGGGTGTGGATGGGAAGATGGGGAGTGTATTAAGAAGGGAAGCAGCTCATTAATTCCTTCCAGCAGCAGGGGAAAAGGTTGGTCAGCTAAAGTGGAGGGGCCCTCCACGGCCATGAAATGAGTCATACCAGTTCAACTTTCTGGAGTGGTCCAATCAGCCAGCGATAAGTATGGGCTGGGATAACTTCCTGGTGTTGCAGGCAGTGTGGTTATCTCAAGGCTAGACTTTCCCTTTCCAGTAATCGTATGTGTGCATTAGTTGTTTTAGCAGGTTTGACAGACTCTCTTCTTCACTCCGTCTGTCTTCAGCTTTATTTCTAGGTCAAGTGCATCAAGAAAATTAGTTTTTCTGCCATTGGGTAGATAGCCGAATCCTTTGAAAGTCATCTGATGTTTGCCCGGCTACAGGGATCCCCTTCGGAGGTCCTGCCTGATGTCACATGTGATGTCAGAGCAGCGGTGACGCAGGCAGGAGGAGGAAGGAGGCTGGTGGATGAAGCCAGCCAGAAATGTGTGAAAGCTACTGACATCTGCCAGTGTGCCTCTCAGAGCGAGAACGCAGGGCATTGAATCTGAGGCCTGGAATGGAATGCAAATTCAGCTTATATATTGTTATGTCCTAGCTGGATGCAAGCCGGTGGATGTTCATGTGTTTGGCAAATGGTTGAGCTGCCTGCTTTTTGATTTCTGTGTGTTACTTTTATGCCAGTGCAGTGATTAAGCCTTTGAGATAACCCTGACCATTCATTTTCATGTGTTTACGTAGAGGGTTTCCACGTTCATCAGGCCATCCGCAACAACAACACCTTAGTTAAATTGTGTGTGAGAGCCTTTTGAACCCACCTGTGATCTGCAGTCATCAACATAATTCTGATGTCGCCACGTCATTCTTGATGTGTTTAAGCTTTCCTGATGAGGTGTAGTGAGATTGTACGTTCTTTTCTACAACACTGTGCAGAAGGCATGCAGAGTCCATCTGATTTGCAGAAAGCCAGAGCGTGCTTACCCTTTGATCACTGTGTTTCTGTCTGATAAACTATGCCACTGTCATCTCTAGCAAGCCCCGGACCTTGACAGACACTAATTACCATGAAGCCAGTTTGGCATGCTCAGAAGCAGCATGGGTTGGGAATAGTTCAGTGCAGGTGAAGCCTGCTGTGTTGCAGAACATTGCCTTGGTGGATTAATGTGCCTAATAACTTCTCCTTCATGTTTTTTTTTCTCATATGAAATGATCATTTTCAAATGTTGACATGAGCTGTGGCGTTTTGGAGCAAATGCATAGCACTGAATCTAACTCCACATACTGTATGAGTGTTGGGTGCATTCAACTGAAAGAAATCTCATTACGTCAAATTGCTAGATTTCAGCTGAACTGAGCTAAGCCTGCTATCCAATGAAAAATGAGCCCATTGATGTGTGTCATACTGGTTGCTGCACATTTTTGTCTTGTGCGTTAGTGAGCTATTAGCTGTAGTATTCTTGTACTTAAGCCACATTTTCAGTGAAACACTGATAGTGCATTAGACAAATGTTAGACAAATATTTGGCTTGACTACTTTTTACAGTATGGTCTGGTTCTGAAATGAATCAGAACCAGACCATACTGCTCAGACTGTGATGTGTTGGAATATAGTGGAGAAGAAACAACCCCCTTCCACCACACACACACAGACACAGACACACACACACACACACACACCCTCCATTCCATCCTGTCTTTGATTTCGCTGCCAGTGGTGTCTGACTGTAATAAGTTTTGGACTGAGGCAATGCAGCGGGAATATCTTAGCAGCCCACATGCTATTGTCTGTGAGCTGCCATTCACAAAAGCAAAACAACTGTTGCCATGGGATATGCTCAACAAAATAACGAAAGTGGGTGTTTTTTGGATAAACCTTTCCACATGAGCTAATTGGCTCACAATGCACGGGCCCTCCCTGTTGCTACTCTCTCCACCAGGAGGGCGTGGATGCTGGAGAAAGGGCATGGGTTGCAATGTGATGATCTTTTTGTTGTTACCCATCATTAAAACAGATTAATTTGATAGTTTACCAACCTTAATTTTTCATTGTTGCAATAGGTCATATTTACCCTAAACTATAGTTGCATGGGTCCTGAGCCCGGTGGGATTTATTTGACGGATGGCGAGTGCACAGAGGGCAGGTAGCTCCTCCAGATATGCCCACGCTTTATATTGCTGAGTTACAGTCTACCTGAAGTGGAGAACAATGTGCTTCCTAGAGGTCAGCGCAGGGTAAAATATGGCCTGCGGCTGTTTATTCCTCCAGGCCCAGCCAAAAACAGGCCTCCAACTTCTTTCCCCAAGCCAAACAGGAGCCTGCAGAGAGCCTGATTGGAAACATTTGCGACACCGTCGGCTCTTCTCCATCCCCACAACGACGCACTTCCTCAGGAAGAGCGACGGCCCCTCCGCTGGACACAGTGATGTCACATAGATAAACAATCTGCGGACCGTTGCTGTTTGTTGAATGTGATGGGCTGTCATCCCGGAGAAACCCCTGTGCGTGCACAGTCCTAGCAGATGCAGGCCAGAGACAAGCCAAGTACACACCCACTCGGGTCAGTTGTTATAGATCCAAGGAGACTACGAACAATGTGTTGGAGAGGTGCGGCTCTTGTGGAATATTTTAGGAAGCAGGCTAATCGTATTTTGGTTCCAGGCTCTGGTGTATGAGATTTCTTTTGTTGTGGTGTTTTTCTGCTGGAGCCTGTTAAATCCAGATTTGTTTTTGTCTGTAGTTCTTCACTTTAAGGAGGACTGTGCTATTTTAACACATCTGTGTCTTCTTCAGGACAACATTAATCACTGTTACTCAATTTGTTTTGACCACAGTGCAGAAATAATAAGAGCAGAGCACAGACGAGTGTTTCAAGAAGAAGATAATCTTATGGTTATTACAGTATATTTTCATAGTCTTTCATGACTTCTTACTATCCACATAGTCTGTAACCTATGCCTGCAATCTGGACTGTTTACGAACACCCTCTAACTCTGCATTTCTGTACTCCCCGAGGCCTAATCTAGGTCTCTGTCTTACATTGTATGCCACCCATGCTGTCCCTCTGCTTGCCTTCCTCCCCACCTCCCCAGTATGCTCTCATCTCACTTGGCCCATGAATAAGGATCTGACACCAAACTGCCAACCTGCAAGCCGTCAGGCCCCTGCAGCCTGCTGCTGGTGTAACCACCAGTAAGGGCACAGGCCGCCCTAACGCAGCTAAAAAATGCTTGTATCTGTTTTTTTATAAACAAACCGTGACCTTAACAAAAGTTCACATGACCTCAAAAGCGGCGAACTTGCATCTTTCACTGCATAGTAAATGTAGAGTAAGTGAGGTTACAGTAGTAGTGTACAGTGGCTGATTAGAGAAACTGTGGAGGCTGGTGTGAGGGTCGTCTGCAGGGAAATGCCAGCCCTCATGTGGTTCTATTTATTTTTAGCTTACTTTGCAACATATGGTATCCATAAACTATATAACTATATTTCTCTCTTTGAGTGAGCCGTGTCATTAAAATGCAGCAGATCTGCACTTTTTTCCCAGTTGCCAAATTCAAGAGCCTACAATGCCAGTCTTTTTCACACAAGAAGGCATTGTAGCGAAACACAATGTTGTTGTGTTTAGGGGAATGAAAGCCAACCATTGTTGCATACCGTTGCTTGAATCCGAGGTTTTATTTGATATAAATGGGTAATTCCATTGCGTAACAGCATTAGCAGTATTTAAACGGAGCTTGTCATGGAAAGGAAGGACTGGGGGTGGGGTAGAGGTAGGGGACTGAATGAGAGCCGGTCACTTTACAGGAGGAAATCCTCACTTTTACTGATGATGGCGATAATCCTCATTTAGTGATGACACCAAGAGCAATTGCCTCGGATTAAGGGTTTAGCTAGATTAGACAGCATATGGATGAGCACTTAAAACAGGTTCATGTGCATATATCATAACAAAAATGAATTATTATATTAGTGAACATAGTTACCTAAAGCTCACTTAATTAAGGCTTTGTCTGGTTGGAGGGATAGGCTTCATCTTCAGGAAGAAAAGGTGGTGATACTGATCTGACTTTGATCTTGAAGTCTGATATGGGCTTCTCAAATGTTGTAGGGACACGTGGTGTTGCTTCTTAATTTAAAGTATAGAAGCATACTGTTAAAAAAATCTTGTACATCAAATTAGTGTGGTTGAATAATATGTAGTGACAAATTGCCACAAATATGACCATCTTGGATTCCATTTTGCTGGCATTTACTGTATTACGAGGACACTGTGTGACTTATTGAACATCGTCACTGGCCTGTTGCCCAGCACAAGATCAACTACAGATCATGAAACAGCCAATGCTAACCTGAATTTAAAGTGTTCACATGAGCCTTCCTACAAAACTCAGAACTAGCCTCTCCTTGAGGAGATTACTCAAAACGTAAATGGAGAGAGTTCAACTCAACAAAAGTATTAACTGGCTAAGCGCCAAGAGTCAATCCTCCAAAACTAACAGGTTTAAGGTTTTAAATGAAAAAGATAATCGTATTAGGGAACCACACATACAAAGAGAGCAGCATTTCACGGTCTTGGATCCTGTTAATCACCTATTAGGCTATCCTAAGGTTCAGGTATAAGGAGGAGGGGGGAGGGAGCAGGAGGGACTAGAATGGAGTAGTGATGCTGCCCTCTGAGTCAGGACTCTTTTCATAGATGGATTTTAGGAGCTCTATGGGACTATCATGGCTAAACAAATGCTAAGAAGCAAAACAAATGCTAATCTGCTTGCAGCTGAATACATTTCGGTGAGGCTGTGTCTGTTTTATAGAACAGAAAACACGCAATTTGGCTGTGCCATTAAACAATGATAGTGTGATTGGCTTTTAAACTGTCTGAACAGCATTTGATTCTGGCAACGAGTCTCATGCTGCTGTCCCTGAATGCCATTTCTTATTAGGGACAGCCAGGTTGTTGGCAGTCTGTTCCAGTGGAGAGTATTGAATGAGTGGGCTGCAGCAGCATCTGTCCTGTTGACAAGGCAGAAAGCATGACTTCATCAAGGGCATTACATCATGAGCAGATGCACCCTGGGTATCATCAATTCAGTTCCTCATTAGTCTTTGATAATAATACGTATAGTCATGTTTTGGGCCATAATGCTATTTTACCTTTATAATCATTGTTGATTATTTGGATATACTCAGTGTTTACTTATGGCTGCAACTAACTATTATTTTCAGTATTGATACTTTATTTGTGACATACACATACATGCAGCTAAATTCATTCTCTGCATTTAACCTATCCCTGAAGGGAGCAGTGGGCAGCCGCTGTGCAGCGCCCGGGGACCAACTGGTGTGTCTTGTTCGTGGCACTGGCTGAAGAACTTAACATGTTTTTTGATGGTGGTGACCGGGGTTTGAACCCGGGAGCTTCTTACTGTGAGGTCACAGTGCTATCCACTGTGCTGCCCTAATTAGTTTGTCGATTGTTGTTTTCTCTATTAACTGAGTAATTGTGTAGTCAAAACTCTAAAATATATTCAAGTGATGAACATAGACGACAAAGAAAACCACCAGAATTCACATTTGAGGATTAGGAACCACAGAGTTTTTGGCATTTTTGCCTAAACAAATTACTTGCTTATTTTCTGTTGTTCGATTAAGCTGCCAATAATTTGAGCTCTACACACAGACACACACCATACAAGAGGGCATGGTACATGTTGAGTCATTAGTTCAGTTCCTTTCGATTCAAAAAATATTCTATACTTTTTTTCTACAACTTTCTCAACGATTCAGAAAGGAAGGTAATAGTTTTGGAATAGACAAAACATTCTCCAAGCCAGCCATTTTTAGGGCATATAGCTAAAAAAAAATCTTCCTTTTAGACTAACCACAAAAAATACCTTTGAGATGAAGAGAAGATGTCGAAGAGGATATGGAGTTGAGCAGAGAGGAGTACAGTCCCCCAGTTGCCTCATTGATGCAGAACGTGAGCAGTGGTTGGCTGCTAACAGCTACCTGACAGCCACTGTATGGTAGTCAACAGGGAGCCCACTGTAAACAGTGACATTTCACTGCAGCACCACCAGCCTTCTGAAACTCACGCTGCTGATCATCACGATATTGAGGGTTTGCTGTTTACCTACAGTCCTCTCAGTTCTGGAAATGGACCACTTTAGTGCTGGTGATCTCCGAGTGAGATGGAAAGAGGGTTGTTGCTAGGAGGACTGGAGAAGAGAGGAGGGAGGGACAGGCTGCTGGGTAGGCGGGTGATCTCGGTTTTGTTGTGGCAGCTCAGAATTTGGGTTTGGGGGTCTTTTTTTGTTTCGTCCTCTCAACTGTCCACATGGGTTAGGACACTTGACAAAAACTGGACACGGGTAGCGGGGATAATGGTTTTACCGTCACATTCTTTTCTCTGTCTTTCTTCTTGTCTCTTCATGTCATCCCCCTCTTTCTTTTTTTCCCCAGTGATGGCCTCAGCTGCGCAGCTGTGCCGGTGATACTGCCGCTGCACGTAGGGAAGAAGCAGAGACGCCTTGACAACCGACCTACCTTCCTCTCTCTCAAAAAAAAAAAGGGAAGAGAAAGGGAAAAAGAAAACACACCAGCATAAACAAATGCGACCATGTACAGCGTGGAGGACCTCCTCATTTCTCATGGATACAAGCTGCCCAAGCATACCACCTCCTCCTCCACCCCTACCACAGTTCCCGTGTCCTCGTCCTGTCAGGCTTCCTCGTCCTCACCGCCGTCCTACAGCAAACACCATGAAATCTTGGAGAACAGGCCTGGTCCCAGGACAGTGAATGGCTATGAAAGAGGGCCCGGGATGCCCTATGGGAAAGGTGGCGGAACCAGGCTGCCCCAAGCATACAGCGGCGGTTGTCCCAACAACAACAACAACGAACACAAGGAGAGGAGCCAGTCCAGACGGGAGGGCGAGAGCCGGAGTCAAACTGACACCCACTCCTTGGGAGAGTCACTGACCTCAGACAGCGGGTAAGATGTAGTGTGTGCTGTGCCTTGAGACCAGTGATGTACTCCTGTCTGACTGACCCTTTTACATGCCCTATCCTGATTATGGTCCTCATCCTTTACTGAAAAATGACACAGTTATTCATTATTATGGTGCTTTGATGGAGCATATTAATGAAATTAAATAACTCATCAAGGAGTTTTGCATGGAGATTTTGGATCGCATCTCAAATGAAACACTGCAGCTCAATCCCTCCCACCATCTCTCTCTTGCTTCTGTCATTCCACTTGTGTGTAACCTCTCATTTCATCTCTATTCCCCTCTCTCCTCCTCTTCCCAATAAAGTCTTGGGCATGGGAGGAGGGATAATGTGTGCTGGATTCTTAATCTGCCACATGGGACCTTGGAGTTGTAATCAAAACAGGTTTTGGGCAAACCTATATGCCCCATTTGGGAATGCCCTGTCTTACACACACAGGGTGCCAGGTTTGTCAAGATACCCTTTCCCCCATTCTACCCCAAATGTAACCAATATGCCTAACAAGCTTCTTCTGTTTCACAAGCATTATATCTACTTATATAATGCATACCCCATCAATGATACAGATTCATGTAGGGTTTATTTAAATATGTATATGGAGGATAGGCTATATTTAGCTTAGTCTGGAGTTATGCAATTGAAACCCTCTTGGGTAGGGACTGTTGGAACGTATGATATTTCCAGAGATATCGCCAGGCTGCAGCCAATCTGTTTTTTCCTGAAAACAAGACTGTTTAGTTTGCCTATTTGCACCAGTTCCGGGGGTTGGTGTGCTGTAACTGAGACAAAGTCAATACAGCTGTTCCCATGTCCACACATTTAGGCAGACTTGTCAGATTTTTTCCCCCTTTCTCCTCACATTTTCTTTTGCCCACTTTTTCACTAATGCCATTTTGCCACCTGCCAGTGACAAAAATAGTCAAATGACCTTGAATAATGTCTGTGGTTGTGTTAGTGTTTTTTTCACTTTTCGGTTTATTCTTTGAGACGAGTAATCCGCATTTTCATGTCGCTGCTCTGCCAGCATTCTATTGGGAATGGGAATTGCTAAGACATATGTTCTGTGATTTCAGTCTGTTGTTTGTTCATCCTTCTATTTTTCTTCTCATCCAAATCCGTTTTGCCTGGCAGCTTTAGTTTAGATAAGGAGCAGGCCTATCTTGGCTCTCCCATTAGGCAGTGCTACTTAGACCCAATTAGACTAATGATGGTAACTCATCTTACATGAAATGCCCTCAAATTTAGCAGATTGGCATAAGTAGCCCCCCTTCCCCCTGCAAACATTTCTGGCCAGTGATGATCATGGATGGAAATGTCAAGGACGCTCACTGGCCTCGGCCTCGGGGGGTGTACACATGTGCTTGCGTCTTGTTTGCGTTGTCCGTCAGTCAGTCACTCTACAAATAGCCTGGAATGATCAGGCTGTATGCAGAGACCTATTGCATCTTGTTGTAGCCCATCAGGTCTGCCATCAAATATCCTCTCAGAAATATACTGGGAGCTTTCCTTATATGGGTTTATTGAAATGCTGCTCGTTTTGTCAGATTAGGAGCTAAAGAAACGTGCAACAGAAAGATTGTCAATGAAGCGTCCTCTAAATTGTTGATCCGTCTTGGAGGACATCCGGGAATAACAGACACTGTGTGTCGTTGTGTAATGTGTTCATTATGCCCCATAGAAAGTCACAATTACCAGACACTGCACTGCTACTCATGGTCATCTGTCTCCATCTAGTGGGAAATGCTTTAAATTTTTGAATCTGTCCACATGGTAGACCTCTTATCCAATTTGTTGTTCACCTATTTGTTGTTCAGGCCCTGAACAATTGTATTTCAGTATTTTGATTGCTTTAAAGGTGCAAATAACTTTGCTAAAATCTTTCAGTGTGCGCAGCATACCGCATTGCTTGGCTCATCTCTAAATCAGCTATGAACTAAAGGATCTTAAAGGTTGGGTTATGCTTGAAACAAACTGGTTTGCATGACACATACTCTGACCTTTCGTGGAAGGAATTCATAGTGTTGAACACAAAAAGATACAGACATAGTGGTGTAAAGAATGAATAAAGCAAGCTTGTGAGTAAGATTTTTGATAGTTGATTAATCTATCGATTATTGAAACAAATGATCGACTATTATGGATTACGGATTATGAATTGCAAAATTACAGTTTTGTTATTTAGCTATCAGATTTTCAATTAAACTTGAGGTTGTTTCACGCATGTGTGAATGAACAGTCAAGACAGTAAATCTAACATTTCTGCTGCAGCAACAGAAAGTTCTGCTGAAATCCAGTCCTTTTATTGACCAAACAGGTAAATACAGTAATAAATAACTGTGTGTGCAGTAGGGCTGCAGCAAATGATGGTTTTAGTGCCCCCCTGGTAACGGGATAAGTTGTGCACATTTATAGGTGATAGATATTTATTAGTCCTTTTGGAAATTCATAGTGTGTCATACAGCAAACATCAGACCGACAACCAGACAGTTGCTTTACAAACATCACCCGAGTGCTATACAAGATATGCTAACAACTCAGTCTTGAAGTCGTTGTGGCGTTCACACTACGTGACTAATCGGTGACAGGGTGTCACACACTACACGAGCTGACAGCGGCTGAGGACTGCGGCATACTTTGACTAGCCTTCAACTAAACAATCAATCGTGATTTCAGTTAAATGCTAAAGTTGCTGTTACTGTTACCTTGTCTGTGGTTGGCTGCTTTCTGATCAGGCGCCGCCGTGCTGTTGCCGAGGTTTTATGGTGGACGGACGGTAACATTACAGAGTTGTTGTTTTCTTTAGCTTGAAATAATCCCATACTTTTGACACTTTCTTCTTTGTCCCTCGCTATTTTCTCTCTCTTCCTCCACTTTGCAAACAGCTCCATTATTATCATGTTGTGTTCACAGAGTAAGCGCAATGTGCGACAGTAATGTCCCTGCGAAACACTGTGCTGTATAGTTATATGGATCAAATGAAGCATCGATGCAAAGAATTTGCGTCGATGAATTTTATTAATCGATTTTATCGATGAATTATTTAAGCCCTAGTGTGCAGCGCTGTGCGAGCACTCATCTGAACTGCTGATCTGCTGTCCAGTGACGGAGCAGCTTACACGCCGGTACTGAACACATACAGTGGGTACGGAAAGTATTCAGACCCCTTTAAATTTTTCACTCTTTGTTTCATTGCAGCCATTTTCCAAAAATCAAAAAAGTTCATTTTATTTCTCAGTAATGTACACTCAGCACCCCATCTTGACAGAAAAAAACAGAAATGTAGAAATTTTTGCAAATTTATTAAAAAAGAAAAACTGAAATATCACATGGTCATAAGTATTCAGACCCTTTGCTCAGTATTTAGTAGAAGCACCCTTTTGATCTAATACAGCCATGAGTCGTTTTGGGAAAGATGCAACAAGTTTTTCACATCTGGATTTGGGTATCCTCTGCCATTCCTCCTTGCAGATCCTCTCCAGTTCTGTCAGGTTGGATGGTAAACGTTGGTGGACAGCCATTTTCAGGTCTCTCCAGAGATGCTCAATTGGGTTTAAGTCAGGGCTCTGGCTGGGCCATTCAAGAACAGCCACGGAGTTGTTGTGAAGCCACTCCTTCGTTATTTTAGCGGTGTGCTTAGGGTCATTGTCTTGTTGGAAGGTAAACCTTCGGCCCAGTCTGAGGTCCAGAGCACTCTGGAAAAGGTTTTCGTCCAGGATATCCCTGTACTTGGCCGCATTCATCTTTCCCTCGATTGCAACCAGTCGTCCTGTCCCTGCAGCTGAAAAACACCCCCACAGCATGATGCTGCCACCACCATGCTTCACTGTTGAGACTGTATTGGACAGGTGATGAGCAGTGCCTGGTTTTCTCCACACATACCGCTTAGAATTAACGCCAAAAAGTTCTATCTTGGTCTCATCAGACCAGAGGATCTTATTTATCACCATCTTGGAGTCCTTCAGGTGTTTTTTAGCAAACTCCATGCGGGCTTTCATGTGTCTTGCACTGAGGAGAGGCTTCCGTCGGGCCGCTCTGCCATAAAGCCCCGACTGGTGGATTGCTGCAGTGATGGTTGACTTACTACAACTTTCTCCCATCTCCCGACTGCATCTCTGGAGCTCAGCCACAGTGACCTTTGGGTTCTTCTTTACCTCTCTCACCAAGGCTCTTCTCCCCCGATAGCTCAGTTTGGCCAGACGGCCAGCTCTAGGAAGGGTTCTGGTCGTCCCAAACGTCTTCCATTTGAGGATTATGGAGGCCACTGTGCTCTTAGGAACCTTAAGTGCAGCAGAAATTTTTTTGTAACCTTGGCCAGATCTGTGCCTTGCCACAATTCTGTCTCTGAGCTCTTCAGGCAGTTCCTTTGACCTCATGATTCTCATTTGCTCTGACATGCACTGTGAGCTGTAAGGTCTTATATAGACAGGTGTGTGGCTTTCCTAATCAAGTCCAATCAGTATAATCAAACACAGCTGGACTCAAATGAAGGTGTAGAACCATCTCAAGGATGATCAGAAGAAACAGACAGCACCTGAGTTAAATATGAGTGTCACGGCAAAGGGTCTGAATACTTATGACCATGTGATATTTCAGTTTTTCTTTTTTAATAAATTTGCAAAAATTTCTACATTTCTGTTTTTTTCTGTCAAGATGGGGTGCTGAGTGTACATTACTGAGAAATAAAATGAACTTTTTTGATTTTTGGAAAATGGCTGCAATGAAACAAAGAGTGAAAAATTTAAAGGGGTCTGAATACTTTCCGTACCCACTGTATTTATATACAAAGAAAAGAATAACTTAATACATTACATTTGCTGAAATTTACAAGAGGGGACCAATAATAATGATTTTGTAGTAGGGAGTCTGAAGCGGATTAGCCGCTGCCTTGCACATAGAAAGTTTTTTAAAGCACATACTTGTCCAGTGTTGTCTAATCTTGTGCATTGGCCAACAATACGTTGTCCAGCTGTAAACATTGAGCGGTGCATTGTTTATGATTGTAAAGTTAGAGCACATCTGGAATGTAAACAGGACCTTTGTGTATCATAATTATTTGCTACTCTCAGCACTATTAACAATACTTTTACCGTGGAAATATGGATAGAAAGCGTTACAGCTCATAACGTGAAGTAACATGGCTTGAATTTTTAAGCTAGCTTGCTAACTAGCTTACCAAGCTGAGTCTTCATCATCTGGCCAACTTTACGTGTCTCCTCTTCAGGTGCAGACACTATTCCGTCCAACAAGCACTTTGGTTGAAGCATATTTATGTGTTATGTGTTTCCTCACAGGTTCTGTGATGGCACCAGAGGTCCTCAGTCACAGTCCAAGGATGTGTCCTACTGGAGGAGAAGAGGCCAGGACTTCACTGTGCTCCTGGACTATGCTGACTTCAGAGAGCCCCATGGAGGAGGGCAGGGCAGTTACAGCAGGCCGGAGGGGTCTCAACAAGCTAGAGGCCAAGAGTTGTCTGCAGAGGAGCGTCAGAGGGCAGCTCAGGAGAGGCAACGTTGGGCCGCCCAGGCTCAGGCCCAGGTCCAGGCTCAGGCCCATGCTCATGCGCAGGCCCGCTCTAGAGAGAGGGAAGCCGCTCTCCACCAGTGGAGAATGGGGACTGAGAGGAAGTGTCAGAGCCTGGGGACAGATGAGTGGCGTCCAGCTGTGAGCTTTAGCCGCCAGCTGTCACAGAGTGAGGGTGAGCGTTGGGCACAGGAGCAGCAGCGGCTCCATGCCCGGACACCAGAAGGCATGGTAGTCCACCCCAGGACCAAAGCCAAATCCCAGTCCCTGCCCAGGATGCTGCAGCCTGAGAGCCTGCAATATGTGGACATAGCCTCGTCCGGTCAGGAACTGTACAGGCGGGTCAATGGCCACCCACTGTCACACCATGACCTTTATAGGGCACCCCGCTGGCCGGAGAATGGCAGGCCGGCTAGTGCCAACCAACTCTCAATGACACCAAAGCCCCGCTTCACCAGACCCCCCAGACCTCCCTCCTATGAGATGCACCAGCAGATCAGGGGAAGTTGTGAGATGTTGTCTGGAAGAGACTCAGTGATTTCCCAGGCCAGGGACAGAACACCACTTCCTATATCAAGGACCGGTGACTCCCAAATGGAATTTTTTGCACAGGACTCTGGACCTCCAGGATACATCCCTCCCCCATCATATAAAAGAGCTCCTATCATGGGAGGGGGGCGTCGGGGATATGGTGAAATTGCTGTTGACTACAGGTACAATTAGTCTCTTTCTTTGTCTAAATTTAAAAAATTCAACAATTTTTTCACTTTCACATTAATTACCTGTGCTTTTAAATTGAACGCTGAGTTTGTGAGAGCCAACCCCTGGATTTACGTTGTTATTATTATTATTATTCAGTTAGAATTAGTTATCTTCAAGAGGCTGTAATGTTATGTGTTGTAAACTTGAGACTAAAATAACTATTTATTTTAATGAAAGAAATTTACAGCTCAGCATCAAAAAGTTACACATACACCAATCATTTGAATAATTTTCATACAATTATTTCTAAGAATGTGAAAGAATGCTTCAAAGGACAGTATCACTGAATAAGAGCATTCAAGTTATGTCCTGCTTGAAGGAAAATGTACTCAGTATTTGTGACCAGAGATGGTACAGCCACTTAATACTGCATTTAATGTCAAACCTATACATCTCAAATGATACTCAACTTAAAAGTTAAAAAGTGTTACAAAGCATAACGTGAGACTGGCCCAGGCCAGATTATGATAGATCTCTCCAAATGGATTTGTTATGCCGTTACAATGGAGAGGCTCCAGTCTTTTCAGGATCATCGTCTGTTCTTTGTTATCTGGTGATATTTGTTGATATTTATAATTGTATCTGCACAGTGCAACAAAGGTATATTATATGTTGTATGCTGAAAGTGATTGAAGCCATTTCACTTCAACATTTGCAAAAGTACTTCTTAACTCGCTTAATAGATAGTGGAGTGCAGTTAGGTTGGCTAACATCATTTCAGTTATTTTTGAAGCCTTCAATCTCTTTTTGTTCCCTTTTGTCTTGTTGATGTCATTGTTGCTTAGATAATGTGCAACTGTTTGTTTGTAGGTACAGAGGTGATGTATACCAGCAGATACAAGTGGCTCCAGATGGATCTCACTGGTTCACCAGACATCCAGCTGGTTCCTGGCCTGATCCCCAGAGAGAAAGGGGCATGTCTGGGCAGAAGCAGCTTTACCCAATGTATACTACACACGAGCACCCTGGTGGAGGGATCCAATACATCCCCTTTGACGACCCCCGTATCCGTCATTTTTCCTCAGCCCTGGGTGGCAACTCCCTGACGGACGCAGACAAGATCCGCCACATTCGCAATGAGCTTCCCAGCGTCACCGTGTCGGAACCTGCATCCGACGACAGTGCCTTTTTGCCCCCGCCATTGGGGCCTTTCATCGCTGCCAAACTGGCCGATGATTCTAACCAGACATCTTCTAGCGACTTCGACAATGACAATAACAGGTGGCACAGTGACTTGCACAAAGAGACTGTTGATAACTTCCCAGCAACTGACCAAAACTGCAACAACAGATATCCCAAAAACCATTGTCCTCCTCCATCTCCCTCTTCAGCCTTCCAGGTCCCGTTAACAAGGACTTCTTCTCATCAGGGGTCCAGCTCAGATCAGGTCTTTGCAGAAACCATTACCCAAGTGAAGAAAATTGTCCCAGATTCAGGGCCAGAGAACAACAGGAACACAAAGAGAAGAGTGAGTGAAACCATCTTCTGCCTTGTATCTGTTCCTGTTCACACACCGACTAACATTAACAAAGACTTAGCGGCAGATCAGAACAACAATAAAACAATACCAAGCCTGACTGTGACCAACACAGACACTTTCGCTGTAGGCCTCAAGGAGAGGCTGAATGTGCGGAGCAAGTCAGTGAATGAGATGCCCATCAAACACCACTACTCTCACTTTCATACTTGCAGCACATCCTCAATGAGGAACTACAAGAGGGCACCTTTAAGGAAGGAGATAATAGATGCCTGGGCACTTCAAGCCAGTGAAGACAAAGAGATGTGCTATGCTGGGTCTTGGCCTGGAAACCAGTACCGAAACCAAGAAACCCAGACTGGCTCACCCCTGACAGTGGTGAAAAGTCCAGATGCTCAGAGTCCTCCTGGGGGACAAGAGCCTGTTCAGTCTGTCTCAGACACAACCACAGACAGTGGTGTGGGGACAGACAGTAGTTCATCTTATGGTTACCCCATGGCAGGACAGAAAAATCTTCATCTTTCTAGCAACAGCGCCTTCTCCCGTCTCAGCCTCAGCACAACACAACTGCCATCTCTAAATACTTCACAAGACCCATCCTCCACATCAAAGGACCAGGATCAGGGAGACCTGCAGCCATCCTCTCCCAGGAAGAGCAACTCCAGTCCGCCAGAGAGTGCAGAGCAAGTGGCCTTTGGTCAGTTTCTCTTAAAGCCAGTGAACCGACGACCCTGTGATGCCATTGATGAACTGGAGATCATTAATAAGGAGATGGAAGACACAATCAGTAAGAGACCCAGCATGGGTCCGTGCATTGATGATCTAGATGGGGTGAATAAAAAATTAGAGCAGTTTAAATCAGGAGAACATTTCACTGCTGGTCCAGAACCAGGCAGAGAAGCAATCAGTCTTCCACCAATGCACATAGAAAAACCCAACAATATAAAAGTCAGATCAAAGTCCTTTGCTTCTACCACTGATCTAGACTCCATGAACATGAGGAGTGCTTTCTCCAGGCCAAAGGCCAACAACATACCACCAACCAATGACAGTTGCCTCTTGCCCTCACTACCCCAACACAATGAGTCAAACCAGCTCTATAGACAGGACATCCCAGTTCCTCAAGAGTCTTTGCTGAGGGATGTGGGCTTAACTGTCTACACAGAGACTCCTGGTGGTCCCGGGGAGCCAATGCAGCGCTCCCTCTCAGTCCCATCTCCACTCGATCATAAGGAGCTTAGTCAGTCAGTGCAGCTCTCGTGGGAGAGCAGGACAGCACTTGTTAAATATAGTGGTAGCCCTGAGCACAATTCAAATAAAGAGCTTCATGCTGAGGTAGAGACAGAGAGAAAGGCTAAATCGGACAATGTTTTGCCATTCAGGGGTGATGTGAATTTAAGCCTCTGTAGAAGTAGGAGTGAAAGCAGCAGATCACCTCAGAAAGAATGTTCACCACATGCCACCAGACTGAGCAGGGAGGTTTCTTTTGTATTTGAGAATGATGATGTCGATGAGAGATACACCATTTCTGAGCCTCTGAAGTATAAGAATGATTCAACCATAGCAGATAAGCACCTGGAAAACTTACTGATTCAGGAAAAAGCCAATTCTTTACCTGCAGAGGACCTCAGCAATCTGTATGAGGTGAAATGCGCAAAAGGTATTCCTGAAAATGAGTCCATTGAGCAGAGGGCTGCCAGAATCCTGGGTATAGAAGTTCCAGTTGAGGCCTTGGGTATGGCTGACAAACAGTCAGAGGACAACCAGGATGATAAGGATACCACTGTAGCTAAGAGACTACAAAGTCAAGGCGAAGAGACACAGCATGTGACAGGAGAGTGTGAGCAAGTCAAAAAGGAGTTCCTGATTTTCCAGGGAGCAGAGGAGGTCAAAGAGACAGGATCAGGAGTGGACCACGAAGAAGGAGACAGACAGAAGCACAGGAGCAACCACAGTGATGGTGAAGACAATGAGGATACTGACATTCAATCCCAGGTGGTACTGGACCTGCCTGAGTTCCCACCCAGTAAGCTTCCCCTATCCCTGCCTGTCACCCCTGATGAGAAGCTAGCACTTAGCATGTGCAGTGTGGAGAAGAGGGGGCGAGGAGGAGCATGTAAACTAATCGAATCCCTGCAAGATAAGCTAAACTCTTTCGCTTCGTCATCTGCTACATCTTTGGGCAGGTCAAGCACAGAGAGAATGGCCCGTCTGAAAGAGCTGGACTCAGTGTCTCGAATAAGACACCTCAGTCTCAAAGAGTCTGGAGGAGAAGTTTATACTGAGGAGAGGGATGGTGACAGAGAGGAGAGTGAAGTTCAGGAAGATAAAAAGGATGTGGAGCAACAAGAAGAGGAAGAGGATAAGAAACTGGAGGACGAAGGAGGGAAGGAGGAGGAAAACCCAGATGAACATGAGAATGCACATGAAACACATGACAAGTTGGGGGATCCTGAAGAAGACTGTAAACCTAAAGAAGAAGTGAATGAAGTTATATGTGAGGATGAGCAAAGACCAGAAGAGGAGGTAGAAGAGATTAATGATGAGATTGCACTAAAAGTGGAAAACGAAGCGAGTAAAGAAGTAGGTGTTGAAATAAAAACAGAAGCACCAGGAGAGGTGAATCTGGAAATTGTGGAGGATTACAAAGAAAACCCTGCGGAGAATGTGAGAGATGGACAGAATACAGCAGAGGTCAGTAGAGCTGAGGCAACACAAGAAGGTGAGGGAGAAAAATTGCCTAAACCGAAGCAGCGCACCAGGCTCCAGAAGCCTCCTCTGCTTCCTAAACCTCGCAGCGTTCCCAAGAGAGAAATAACCCTGCCACTCAGCTTCAGCACTGGGACCTGTGGCCCCTCGAATACGGAGGATGAAGAAATGCTCTCTGTCTCAGGTGGGTACAAAGGAATTAACATTTGATATCCTTGTTTTGCCTTCAAAGTGAAGCAGCATCATTAGTATAATATATGGTTATTAGCTATGTACAAATACTTTTGATTGTGATTCTACTGTTATAGAGGTTAAACATTTTTCAAAATATTATTTGCTTTCTTTTGTGAGTGTGAGTTGATCGAATTGAAGACTCATGTCTGTGCATTAAGTGCAAAGCTTGAGTGGGTATGGGGTTTGTCTATTTGTGCATGAGCAGAATTTAAAAATTACACTTCTTGGATTTCGGGTGGTTATGTGCTGGAGCTACCGTATTCCATAACGAACTTCTGTGCAGTACTTCTAGCTGTATTGGTGGTTGCCCGATATGGTCAGTTAGCAGAGGTTTTGGTTTTGTCTCTGTCTGAAAGCTATAAACCGCCAGGGTTTTTCCTTCAAAATGAGGCAAGTGAAATTAAATGTCACGAGAGGCGATTTGTTGCAGGAAAACGATCAGTGGAAACAGTGAGTCAGAGTTGGAGAGAGGAGTTTGTTGTGTTGAACAGCGGACTCTTAAGCTTTTGTAGTGGGGCTGGTTAAATTTACACAGTGCAGAGGGTTCGAGTCACTAGCCTGATTGGCAGGTCGCCATGGTAGTGACTTGTCAATCACAATGTAGTCCCGCCGTAAACCATACGCTGCTTTATCGTCTATTTTCTTCTAAATTGGACCATATTTTACCAGATGAACATCATACTGTATTAACGAAGACTTGAAACTAGCTATTGAGACCATAAAAAAGTGTTTACTGAGGTAATAAATCAGGTGAGAAGTAGGGTCTTTTAACCATTATTTCTAAAGGAGCCGGACTTCTTTTTCAACCAGAGGAGTCGCACCCTGCTGGCCATTCGATAGAATGCAGGTTTAAGGGACTTAAATGCTCAGACCCAGAAGTTCTAGCTTGCTAGTCTCTCACTCGATTTCAGAGTGATCATTTTCCTTGAGCAAGACTTCTGTTTCCTGTTAAAAACAAAGGGTGTCACCAGGGGTCAATCTTAGAGATCCTTTCCATGATGTTCTCAGACACCTGGTATAACAGTCTGAGCCTGTCAGTGGGAAAAAGAAGCACATAGGTGGACGTAATTTTGACAGGCATAATTACCCTGAATGAATATGTTGCAGCCATTGCAGCCAGTTGGCAGCTGCCAGCTGAAGCCATCTACTGCACAGATTCCAAAACTTTTTGTACCTACTAGTAATTTGGACCCCAAAATCGGTGAATATAGGCCCCAGGTTTAAAAAAAACAATATTAATTAAATTAAATACAACACACACACTTAACAAACATTTTTACAACATTTTATAGTTAAGGGCCACTTGCAGTGAAGCTGATGAATTCCTGGATATGAAATGTTCATCTGCAATTTTCTGTATTGGTCCCACTAATATTTGTTTTTACTGAAGCATGTCACATGACATGGTTAAGCTCAATTGCTTGTTAAAAACAAATAGCTAATCAGCCAATCACATGGCAGCAACTCAGTGCATTTAGGCATGTAGACGTGGTCAAGCCAACTTGAAGTTGAAACTGAGCATGATACAAACAAAACAGTGACCTACTTGTACAAAGATTGCTTTATAGCTTTACTGGTGGTCAAGAACACCACAGGGTACCTTTAGTTTCCACCTTTTCAAGGGCAAATAATATTGTTCTGACTTGTTTTCGATTGTGTTCTGATCATTTTTCTTTCTCTCTTTTCTCATCAGACTCCTATGACCCCAGTCGAGTGGAGAGAGTATAACATCTGACACTGCCCTCACCACTGTGGAAATCTGTCTTTCTCAAGTTAACAGCTTTTTCCAACAACAAAGGCTTTCATCTCACCTCATGGCTTAGTCAGCTGTGACCCCTCCGATATTGTTACACATTATTTTCACAGAACTGACTGTTCTGGTGCTGCGAGAGCATTTTTACAGCCAAATAAAGGCACCACCGGTGCCGTTTCTCCAGGCCTTTTCAATCTCGACAACCTCTTCCTTCCATTCTCTCCACTTCTCAAAAAGATTAATTTGCTCAAGGAAGCGGACTTCTTGCTTTTGAAGTTGTCTTGTTTTGCTTTTGGAAAAATGCATGTCATTATTCCTGTCCAAACTTGGGCTCCTTATTGAGCTTAGGTGTTGAAATATGAATGTAAAAGTGCTTCTGCTCAACAAACAAAAGAAATGTAACAGAAAAAAACAACAAAAAGGCAACAGTATTGCATTACAATCAGTATTAACCTACACCAAATGTAAATAAAAAAGAGTTATAAGATTTTATTAAGAATATAAAAAATCAATTTAAGACATTTAATTGCTGAAGAAATTTATATTTTCTTATCTATGTTAAGAAAGAAAGATTTTTGGTAGTGTAGTCTTTGGGTGTATTACTAATAATGAACCCCCCATGGTCTATATTCTTATACTTGTGTGATAGAGAATGTACTCAGAGAGCCTGTAATGCAATGAGAAACACTGTGGTCTTTCAATAGTTTCACTCAAGAGCAATATAGTCGTCGTATACGGGACATTTGTGGCATGTTTTGAGTAGCGAGTGTCCATTTCAACCTTTTGGTACAAGTGTTAGATTTGCACTGCTGAGATTATTGGCTTTATGTTATCAGTGAGAACCTGATAATCTCTTCAAATACTTTGAGATTACAGAAGGAGGGATTCATATTTGCACCCTCCCTGTTCTCCTTTGCTGTCAGTGTCAGTGTCAGCATCAGCAATCGCAGCGTGTATCAGAAACGTCTGATTTAAGTGTTATTTTTGTTAATCCTCATATTGTTGAAGAAGAAAATCTATATTTTGTGGCATTAACAGAAGTCTATATTTAACTGTGGAATTTTTCCTTTGTTCACATCTTAGTTTGTGTGGTTTCAGAAGTGCTTTTTTGCAGGAAATCATAGATGTAGCTATATTGATCGCAGTGTGCCTTGTACACACTGTTTCTGTGGAGGACTTCATTTGTGTGTAACACATTCAGAAGTGTCGGTTTTCGGATCCTAATTTAAACTGTACCACACTATGTAATTATAACTTCAATGAAAACTGAAACATTTGAAGTTGTTTTGGCAATAATAATAAAATTTAGCTTAAGAAGCATAATATTGATGCTGTACAGAACATGTTCAGTCATTTAATGTTGACATATCAGTGCTTTATAAGTTGTGGGCATAACTGGCAGTCGGTTTACTTAAACTCACTTCATTTACTAGGGTAGCAATACAAGAAATTAAAAAACATACCAAACCAAACTTTATGCTATGCATTGGACATCTACATTTACTGGGTTAAATACCAAAATTCATAGTTAAAACGGCATCTTCTGGTTAGCTTGTTTGACCCTATCGCTATGTGATCCAGCTGTATTTAATGTGGAACCTGTTGGATCTGGTTATAGACATGCATGGAAATGGCTCTGTCTGGAGTTCAGTGGAGTGGAAGGTCCGTGCGAGGATTTGTCCTGTTACCAGCCCAGTACCCGTACCTCTGTGTTCTAGGTAACGTGTTATCTGGTCATTCTCATAGGTCTTTTTGTACTAAAAGTTCTTTGTAACATGATATAGACTATTGGTGCACATTCTTGCTTTGATATTTTCTATTTTCATACATGTACAGCTTCTTTTGTACGCGCGCAACATCTTTCTTTTTTTTCTTTTTTGTGTGCATGAAATGCGTAAGAAGTCACAGAGACAAGGTGTATTTGCATATAATTGCATTTGGTACTATATAGTCTATACAATAAACAACTGTTATATTTCATAATAATGTATATTTTATTTTCAAAACGTTATGCTACATATTTAAAACAGAACAAGGTATTTTTAGATTATTGTGAAAAGGGAACTGTTTTTGAAGGCACAATATTTGTCTATATTTGAAATGATCATCAAAAAAGATCATAAATAGAGGCAAGTGTGTGCTATTGTACAGTACTGCAGAGTATTCATAAATAAAAGTCTTTGCATGAAACATTTTGTCTCTGACTTTATTACATTCATTATTATTAAACATAATTTGATGCAAAGAGAACATTTGGAAAATAATGCATATATTTAATAAAAAGATCTGCAAAATAAAGAACTACTGTATTTTTTTTTGTTGGAAAGTAGTCTTATGACCATGCCATGTTCACATATGGGGAGCCCGGGTCAACAACTTTGCTGTTGGACCTCCCATCACCTTTTCGTAAACTGTAGATCTACCCCGTCACCACCAAGTTCCCATTAAGTACAGTGCACAAGACCACACATAGCTGCTTCATTACCAGTATACTGTATATGCCCAGAGACCTACGAGTACTCCTATGTTACCTGGCACCAAGGTTACTTTGAGACACAACTTTAAGATTATGCACAATGTGAGCACTATATACAATAAAATATCTATTTGAGCTTGAAATTTGATATAAGTGTTTTCTGGAGCTTCAAAGTTTTTCCTACCAACCTGTATATCCAAATGAGAATTTGGACTTCAAGGGTTGTTCTTCACCACTCAAAGAGTCAGGTTTTGCTGAATAGTTAAAATGAATGACGGACATTGCCTCTTTTGAAGCTCATCACATCAAGACTGATGATGATCAAATAATTTTTTTTAAGTTTGATGTAATTTTTTAAAAACTTATGTACAGAAGGAATAGGGATAAAATCTTATTCTTACTGTAAATGTGCAGCCTCATTTTTGTTGTATTTCATTTGTACTTTTTTATGCTTATTGAGCTGTCCTTTATGTCTATTACTTTGATGTTCTTTAAGGAGTTACTTTTTTCGCTTTGACATGCCCTTTAAAACGGACTTGGACGGAAAAATGAACAATGACACTATACCTGGTTGGTGAAATTATTGGTATAAGGAAATGTATTAATTAAAAATTGATTGACAAATTGTTGTGTTATTATGATACCCAAAGAGAAAATACCATTTTCATGGTTACAGCATTTACAGTGTGATTACTTTGAGAAAGACACATCTCCATCTTGGGTGGATGAACACTGACATACATCATTGTATCATGATATGATCATTGCATCATCATCATAAAAACATTTTTTTTAGAGCTCAGTAAATCAAAGGCACTTTAGCTCTGTCTTCACTATGAATTTGTCTAAACATGAGAAAAATTGCAAACCAGTAAACGCAATTTAGAGTAGCCTATAATCTGAGGAAAACGTAGTTTTGATATGTATCCTGGTGCTGGAAAATTAAGCAGTAAGTATTAATGCAATATGCTAAAGTCTCAATATACCTGATCACTTTATTATCACTGTATCAACGACAGAAAAGCGCTCCTTTTTGTATATGGTACACTATACTGATAATAATAATAATAATAATAATAATAATAATAATAATAATAATTAATAGCTAATAGTGACTTATTAAACGTTTACTTGCAGGAGTAATTACACTGATCGTGGAAAAGCCAAAACCCTCCCTGACAGGCGTCTTTACGCTCAGAAAAAAAAAAACGCGCAGGGCTGTACATAAGCTCAACAAATATTTATTAGTTCTTGTTTATTTATTTGTTGATAGGCTACTTAAGTAATTATTCGTCCTCCATACTACATGGCTTGTCTGCCTGCTTTGCTGCTGGTCAGAGTGATAATACATACATACATAATAACATAACTCAGACCTCACATTTCCAACTAATGATAAAAAGATGTGAGCTCGACTGATTCGCAGTTTGCAGCGCTGCTGTTCAGAAGCAACTCGATGTTTGTGCTACCACACAGGAAAAGGTTTGCGATGGCCGGGAATCGAACCCGGGTCAACTGCTTGGAAGGCAGCTATGCTTACCACTATACCACCATCGCACTATCTCTACGAACAACTGGAACACAGTATGTATCGGAATTCCGCATGGAAAGGCGGGAGACAGAAGAGGAAAAGCAGGGAAGGGACATCGTGAAAAGCTGTGACCTCTTTACTCAGTTATAACACCAAGACTAAACTTTACTCTTGAACAATTTACAGCAGAGTGTCAGGTAATTTATTTATCATACAACACAAGGTTGTGTAACGAAATGAAAGATGTCCCTTCATGATTGACACACAAAACATAATGGATAATTAAACTGATATAAGACTAGGGTAATGTATACAAAAATAGCCGTAAAAAAACAATCTATAACTATGGATATTTATATAGTCAGGAAGATTGACCCTTCACTAAGCCACGCTTAAAGGAAAATCCAGGAGTAAAGGAGAATCCATAAGGACTTATGAAAAGAGGACCGCGGGACTCAACACGCGGCTGCTCTTTTCTAAGCGACGTAATTATGCTACGGCGGATGTTACTGACGTGGCTTGCCGTGATAAAACTACAATATTCCGAAGATGGACTACAAAAAGCGCATCTTTGACACTGCGCCCCATGTTGTTGTAATGCAGGCCATCTAAAGGTGGACAACACGGTGGAATAGGCCTATATTACTAAATACCCAAGATAGCAAAAAGGCAGATAAGGTAGCCTACCAGTCACTAAATAATGGACAGGGTTGTTACATTGAGAATGCTTGCTCACACTCACCCTCCTGCCCACCCATAGGCGTATTTATCAACATGAATCCCAATTGTATGTAAATACAGTGTTTCCCACTGAATGACAGCCTAACTGTGCCGAGAGAGAGAGAGAGAGAGAGAGGGAGAGACGGGGCAAGAGGAGATGCTGAGAGAATATATGCACTGCGCGGAGCTCTGTCATCAAATACGATTTTACCCATTTTAAATAGTAACAAAATCAATCGAAAATCAGCGTTGATAATGTGGCAGGCCGCCACAAATAAATCAGTGTGTGGGAAACGCCTACTGTAGAGGTTATCTAGCTTGTTATTTGCCTTTATTAAGACAAGGGTGTCAGCATCTGTGAGTGAAGTAAAATGAATTTGCTGAAGGCTGGTGTACCTTATGCTAAAGGAGATATAAAAGGAAGCATTGAGGCACCTTTCCTTAGCTTTAAGATAATTCGAACAGCTCTTATCATGGCTGCCACTAAAATACTTCTGGTTCACTTCACTCAGTTATGAACCTTCCTTAGCAAAAAAGACTTTTCAAACGCAGCCTCAGACTGTCCCACACTTTCAAGCCTGCTCCATTGACTCGTATGCTGCAGGAGTCGTTTTCTAGCTTTTTATTTTTTGCTGTATTTTTGCTGTATAATAATAATAATAATAATAATAATAATAATAATCCTTATTTGTAGAGCACTTTTCAAAAACAAGCTACAAAGTGCTGTAACAAGTGTAAAGAATAATACAAAAAAAACAAGATAAGAGCATGAAAAATTAATATAAAATTAGTAAAATACAATAAAATAAAAGGGATAAAATAAAGTCAAATAAGATCGGGAAAAGCTCTCCTATAAAAGTATGTTTTAAGAAGGGACTTAAAAGAGTTCACTGACTCAGCCGACCTGATTTCCTCGGGCAGGCTGTTCCAGAGCCTCGGGGCCCTGACAGCAAACGCTCTGTCCCCTTTAGTTTTCAGTCGAGACTCTGGAACAGACAACAGACCTCTGCCCGAGGATCTCAAGGTACGTGCTGGTGCGTATGGGACTAAAAGGTCAGAAATATAACAAGGCGAGAGGCCATGAAGAGCTTTAAAAGTGATCAATAGAATTTTAAAGTCAATTCTAAAACATACTGGGAGCCAGTGTAATGAAGCTAAAATAGGAGTAATGTGGTCATATTTCTTTGTTCTGGTTAAAAACCTGGCAGCTGAGTTCTGGACAGTCTGGAGTCGATCAATAGATTTTTGGGTTAAACAGGTGAAAAGGCTGTTGCAATAATCCAGGCGTGATGAGACGAAGGCGTGTAAAATGGTCTCGGTGTCCTTAAAAGTTAACATAGATCAAATTTTTGCTATATTTCTAAGTTGATAAAAACATGATTGAACAAGCTTTGTGGTGTGCTGCTCGAAATTTAAATTACTATCAAACCAAACACCAAGGTTCTTTGCCACAGGCTTAATGTGATTTACTAGGGAACCAGCAGATGGCAGTATTTGATTTGCCATCTGCTGAGACCCGATGACCAGGATTTCTGTTTTGTCTGAGTTCAGCTGGAGGAAATTATTTGACATCCATTTTTTAACTTCACAAAGGCAGTTGTTAAGTGAACTCAGCATTCCAGGGTCTGTAGATCTGATGGGCAAGTATATTTGTGTGTCATCAGCATAAATATGAAAAGAAATGCCATGTTTATGGATAATATGTCCAAGGGGAAGCAGATACAAGGAAAACAAAATGGGTCCTAAGACCGACCCCTGAGGCACACCATATTTAACTGGACAGAATGAGGAGACATAGTTGTTTACAGACACGCAAAACTTCCTATTTGACAGGTAGGATGAAAACCATTCTAGGGCAGTACCAGAGATCCCCACCCAGTGCCTCAGTCTGTCTAACATGATGATGTGATCAATGGTGTCAAAAGCAGCGCTAAGGTCCAGGAGTACCAGGACTGAGCACATGCCTTCATCAGCAGACATTAAAAGGTCATTGGTGACTTTAAGCAGGGCAGTCTCAGTGCTGTGGTACTTCCTAAAACCAGACTGAAACTTTTCAAATATTTTGTTATTTTCCAGTACAGTGAGCAGCTGTTTGGACACAATTCTTTCTAGAATCTTAATAAAAGGCAGTTTTGAAATTGGTCTAAAATTATGTGGGAGGGAGGGATCTAAACCAGGTTTCTTTAAAAGTGGGTTCACGCAAGCCGTTTTAAAATAATCAGGGACACAACCAGTAGATTATGGTCAAACGCTGTTCCTGGGGCACTTGTAATAATTACAATCGCTACCCAGAGAGGTTGAAAGGAGAAGTATGATTTATTCCCTTTCCAAAACCTAAAACAAATCCAGAAAAATGTAGGCTGTGGGCTGTTTCTAATGTAACATTAATGTTAGTTGGCTAACGCCAGCTCGTTGGAGGAGCGTAGCGGCCGAGAAGGAATGTAAGTTTGTATTATGGAGTTTAGGTAGATGGGTGCAGACCCAGTAGTCACTCTGTATGAAAGCATTAGTGACTTGAATTTGATTCTGGAGGCCACGTGGAGCCAGTGGAGGTCA